ACCTCCGCCTCCACATCTGCACGCTCATGATCTTCCACAGGCAAACATAAACTCGGTGCCACACTCGCTTTCACTTTCCCTCTCTCTTTCACATTCTCATTCACACTCCTACTCCCACTCATACTTGCACTCACCTCCGCCCACCAGTCGACATCCACAGTCTCAGACACACGCTCACCTACAGACACACACGCCCTCTCACCTGCAGGCCAACTCGCACTATTCGCCTCACACACCAACACAACCTGCCCAACTTGCCGTCTCTACCACCGTCTTCACTAGCCCCCCCAGCAGCAGTTGCAGCAGCAATAGCAACAGCAACAGCAGTAACAGTAGCAGCAGTGGCAGCAGTAGCAGTTCGAGTCCGCCGGGCCTCGGTCTCGGCGTCTACCTCGGAATGCCGGCGCCTCTGGCCCGTGACCACTGCCACCATTCGCCCAAGACGGAAGCGCCACCCACCCCAGCCGACAGCCTCAGCCCAACAGCCCACTCAGCCGCCAGACTCGGCCCTCCACCTCTTGGTGCCGTCGCCACGGCAGCCGCCGCAATGGCTGCAGCCGGTCTCTTCACCTCGGTCGTCTCCGCCGTCTCTAGCCGAGGCGACAGCGACACAAACGCTGACCCCGACACCAACGGCAATGGCAACGTTAACGGCGATGGCGATGGCGACTGTGATGGCGACGGCGACACCGAAGCGCCTCGTCGTGACTGCCGCTCGACCGGAGTCTCATCTCAGGCCATCTATCCATCTGCCGTACATCCCAAAACCGGCCTCCACCTGCCCCACTTGCAGCACTTGGCTCATCCCCACCAGCCGTCCTACCCCCCTCTCCACCACCTCCAGACACATCCCCAGCCCCACCAATTCTCCCAGCTCAACCACCATCACCACCACCAACATCGCCAACATAATCAGCCTCAACAACAACAACACTTATACATGCAGCAGCAGCACTCGCACTTGCACCTCCAGCTGCCGCATCAGCTGACCCTCCAACCGCCTCTGCCTGCCGCAGCGTCGGAGTCGCCAACAACATCACCGTCACCGTCACCGCCACCATCCCCGCTGCCGTTGCCGTTGCCCTCACCTTCGTCCCAGTCTCGGCCACAGCCGCAGTCGCAGTCGCACCAACTGGTGGGGACACACCTGCAACAAGCCCAGACCCTGCCCGCTGGCCACCACCACCACCACCAGATGGGCTCGTTTCCATCCGCCTTCCTGTCGCCAGGCCAACTGGTCAGTAGAAACAAAGTGAAGTTTTCGTCTTCAAGCAGCCTTTTCGCCTGCAAGTGATGAGCTCACTTTTGTTTCAACTCACAATGTGCGCGTTTGCGCGTGTGCGAGTGTGCACGAGTGTGTGATGGCGAGATTAGTGAAGTTAATTTCTGTCAAAAAACTATACCGGATTCAGCTTTCCCTTTACCGCAACATTTGTATTGACACCAACAGCGAGGCAGTCCTCTTCGACTCTGCTGGAAGAGAGACCAAACTCTCGTCTGTCACACGACCGAACATCCTCACACCTGACTGGCATTTTTCAAAGGATATGCGAAGAAAAGTTGCGTTTCGAGGAGTCATACATGTCAAGCTGACTTCCATTTCAAGAGCATTCTTTGACTGATCTCATCAACGCCCCCAGCAAGACTATAATAATGGCAGTACAGCGTATACTCTCGACACGTTAACCACTACACCAGATTGCCACGAGTGCCCTTGCGTCACAGGGCAGATGGGCATTTCAAGTAAGGCCGGACATTTTCGCATATCACATTCTCTGATGCGATTGTCGATGAAACGAAGTTGTGTTTTGCCATAGCAATCGACGAAAGCACTCATCTTTATTTTCAGTCGGTTTTACGAGACTATCGCTCGAACTGATGTTGGAACTGTAGTTGTCCTATTTCGTTTGAGCTGATGAAGGGCCGGTGGCTGAATTTTCGTACAGAATCTTTATAGAAAAACTACTTATGAAACGAGTG